TCAGTGCTATTCTTGGCTAATCAATAAAATTTTATTCAATCAATGTTATGTCAGTGTTTCCTGTTTTTGTGCCCCAAATATGTAGTCACACTTTTATGGAAAAAAAACGTGATGTCACCACTATATAGCCATTTCTCTAGTTTGCTTCAACTTCTGGTGTGCTCTAGATCAGGGGTTCCCAACCCAGTCCTCAAGTACCTACTACCAGTCCATGATTTAGGGATTAGCCTGTTGTGTCTAAAGTGTTTTTTGTTTTTTTTAATCCCCTTAGTCACAACTGGGTAATACCTAAATCCTTGACATGCGCACCATCGTATCACGACATGTTGGTACCCATTACCCAAACCCCAATAAACCACAGACACCAATTTATACTGTTGGAATTATTTGTCCATAGCTTTATTAAATATATAATCATAAATATAACAATTAGGGTCATTGTCAGCAACCATCACGGCATATTAAAACCATAATCCCCCCGTACATAGTCTCCCCTGACAATAACCCAACCATAAACATGATATAACAATATATATAACACATAACATATAAACATAACATGGCCAACCATACTACTCCATTTCCAATAATAAACTGCAGGGTTTTATCGAGACACACCTACACCACCAGGGGTTTATCGAGACACACCTAGCCACCAAAGAGCTAGAACCTACCAACCAGCTAAACTCCTGCCTAAATCCACTTAAACCTATCCATGCCCCCCTTCCTACTTCAGGTAGCTCCCAATTTACCTTGCCATTCCCCGTCATAGCTCATGACATGACCCCCTAGAGCTCCTGAGTGCCCCTCTCCCCCTACAAGAACAGGGCCCTGGCAATACCGTCCTGAAAGCCCAGGTTAAGAAGGTCATACCCCACATCAGATGCATGGACCCTATCCCTCCCAAAGTATCCAGGAAGCATACCTTCCAAATCCAAAATGTCTCACCGCTATACCCACTATTCTCCTCACATTGTCTTATTAACTTTCTACCAACACCGCCCTACAGCTGCCGGGTCTCTAGCATACCTCTTCATCCCTTAAACCAAAACTCTCTGAGGGACCAGCACTAGGTCATTACCCCTAGCATGTATTAACACTATATCTGGGGCCACTCCCTTCAACACCTTTTGCCAAATTTGCCCACTGACACCTTGTTAACCGAAGCCCTGAAAACCAAGCCACAGTAGTGAAACTTTCTCCAGAGGAAAGCCCAGCCGCCTTCCACATATCCGAACTGCGGCTCTCTTCTGTGCCCAGTAAACTTAAGAGTGGCCCAAAAACCAGGCCACCCGACCTAAAACAAAAAAAGAATTAACCACAGAACAGTTTCCCCCAATCCAACACCATACCCCATATTTAACCCAGCCAATAAGGCCACAAATATGATTTAAACCAAACGGATTACCACCTACCAATCAGTTTGACCAAACTATCCCCAAGCCCTAAACGAGTGGCCTCCGTGGCCACCCCGATCCTAAATGAGTGGGTCCCAAACTGCTTGGGGTCCAAACTTAACCTTTGTAGACCCAGCCAAAATACCTTAAAAAATAGAAAACTGGACAGGGCTGACCCATCCTCGTGTAATAGGAAACAACCTTTCCTGCTGTGCCGATGAGCCGGCACCTCACTGGGACTCAAGCGTTGCGGAGGCCTAGTCCTCCACGCAGGATAGCACCCTAGAACCTCCGTGGCAGCCGTGGAAGGCCCTGCTTCCCCAATCCTCTTCTGTAGCCATGCAAAACCACAATCTCTCACGACAGCACGCACTCCAGCCAGGAACTCTTCAATCGAATCCATTTGGAAAACAAAGCAGAAAACCCACACAAGCCTGACAGACAACTAACAGGTAAGTGCAGGTTTGATTAAGATGACCACAACACAAAATGCCCGTGTTATATATTACTGGCCAGAAACCCCGCCCCCTCCATTAACCTTCCCACTTAACTCTTCCCATGCCTAACTCCTGGCCCTGTCAAGGCCCATTCTCCCTGCGGTGCTGTTCCATAGGCTACAGGACTGTTAGGGGATACTTGAGGACTGGGTTGGGAACCACTGCTCTAGATTATTGTAACATCTGTAAAAATAAATTGCTATCACTCCATGTATTTGCCCCTACTCCTAAAGCTGGCTGGTCAATCTCATTCATTTGATTCAGATGTCCTTTTAATGCCACTCCGGTCAGAAAATTAAGATACAGATGCAATGTCTTTCTACTACCTGCAGTATACTTACTTACACACACACACACGCGACTAAAATATGCAATCAGGACAGGTCGTGGGCAGACCTTGCATCAGTGACGATGTCCAAATTGGGCAGGCTTGCCAAGTTAGTGGGTGGGGCTACCCACAGAAGAGGTAAGCCATCCTGGTGTGAATGGTCACCAAACTGACTGACAGCCTTCTGGCCAAGCCAACTCAGTACAGGCATTACAGACAGAGAATGCTTCAGCAACAGGGTCCTAGTGCCATCACACTGGTTGAGAATATCATTTGGGGTGACAGGCAACAAAATAGTGGGACAGAACCTCAAATGGTGACTGTCCCACCAAAACTGGCATAGTTCAGAGGCCTATATACATACATATATACATATATTTACCTATATCTTCCTACTATAAGAAAGATGTGTGTGTTTATTATAATGCTTGATTTGGTCTGCGATAATACCTGGATTCTCTCTCCTCTTTCTTATCTCTTCTAAAAATTATTTTATATGCCATGTACTTGTTTATTCCTTTCCATGTTTTTCTAAGGTATTTATATATAGATCTAATGAGTGCATTAATTGAATTAATTGATCATCTGTTTTTTATCACTTTTCTTGTAATTGCACACTAATTGATTATTATGTGTGTATAAAAATGCCTTTTTGTCAGTGTGGTGTTAGCTTGATAAAGACCTGTTTTCAGGTCGAAACGTTGCAATAAACTGCCTGGAAGTAATCACAGTGAGTGCCTGAGGTGTATTTTCATTTATACAGATTGTTTGGGGTTTGCTGACGCATGCTCAGTGCACCCTGTGCTAAACCCTGTGATTGAGTGCAACCCTCCATCTCTCCTTACTAAATGCACGGCATAGGCTAATTTCATTTTACACACTAAATTATTAGCTTGTTAATAATATAATAATATCATGTAAGATTCAAGAAATGATCAAAGAAAGATATACGTTAACCTAATGCTTTTAGGTGAGGAAATGGCCTTAGAGTCTGAATAAGGTTTTGATACTTGGAACGTACGTGCACTCCGCATGCGAAGTAAAATGGTTCCTCACAGAAACGAGTACGCAATGGTTATTTTACACAGTGTCCAATTAACCTTTTCATCTCATTAGCAGAGAATGTGATGGGAGAAAGTCTGGCAGCATTGAGCATAATATAATGAAATTCCAATTTCTTATTATATTGCTTAGCTGAAAATAAACATTGAAAATAAATTATTTTGTGATCTACTGTAGTTACTGTGACTCTTTAGCAGTTATGTTTTGCATTATATTGATTTACATGTTTACTCGGTTTCTTAATTAGAGTATGTTGTATGCAAGGGATTTAAATAGAACCAGTAAATGATTAATTGGGACATTGGTTAAAAAAGCACAAACTGCTGAAGGAGAATAGGCTTAAAGGAGCACTACAATCACCGTAAGCACTACAGTCCATTGCAGTGGTTCTGGTGGCAGGAGTATCCTCCCCCCCCCAATCTAAGGGGTCACACCATCTTACCTCCCAACCTCATCTACATTCCAGTGAGAACTGGTAGCTCCTGCTAGAAGCTTTAGTTAGGTGTCCTGAGCTAAGCCCTAAAGCAGGCAAAGGCAACCTTCGGCATTCCAGATGTTTTGGACTACACCTCCCATGATGCTTTGCCAGCAATATGGGTGTAAGAGCATAATGGGGGATGTAGTCCACAACATCTTGGGTGCTGAACGTTGCCTACCCCTGCCTTAAAGCATTGGCTGCGGACCTTAGCTTATTGCTCTCAGCCAATGAACTAAGCTATGTAGTGCTGGGCTCAGCTGTAGTGCAGGCACTGATCAGCACCCAGCAGATTCCAGATAAGGAAGCAAAGCATTCTAAAACAGTGTCATTCCGTACAATTGGGGCACCAGGGCATTCTCGACACCATAAAAGCTACTGGTCAAAGTGTTTGGAGTGTTCCTTTAACCCCTTAAGGACCAAACTTCTGGAATAAAAGGGAATCATGTGTCCTTAAGGGGTTTAATAGGTAAGTTGATAAATGCATCTCTGGTTTGCCATATAATTCTATGTTAGACTAAAATAGGCGAACCAAAATATCTTCTTTTAAGCCTAATTCACCAAAGTCAAAAGGGTTTATTTGCTAACCAACTCAATTAAACAACACAGGGCACTGGGTTTAATAATGAACTCAAGCTGCAGAAAAAAGGTAAATAGATACTCACATATAAAGTTGTTGTTTTTACAAGAAATATCCATGGCTATAGATATCCTGAAATATACTGCCCACACAAGGTGCTGACTTGCCAATCAGGATGCTCTAATAACTTTATATAACACTTTTCAAACATACTCTGCAGGACATTATGGGAAGAGTACGGGGATTCTGGAACTCTCAGAAACTTTTACTTTGGGATGACATGAATAACTGTGTTGGGAAAACACTGAATGTTAGAAAAGAAGGAGAGAAAGGTTCAGCTTATATACCCGTGCCATTATATACCCAGACAATGCAAGAATGCAAGAGGTGGAACAAATGATTCAACATTAAGATGCAAAATTCTGCAAAACATTTTTTGCTGCCAAAAGTGTTAAAAAATATATGGCTAATTATTGCCTGGAGTGTCCCTTTAATTTCCCTCTGGCAGCATATGAATACTTTATACTGAAGGACAGCACTTGTATGTGCAGTCCAGGTCAGGAATGTCAGACAAACTAATCAGGGTAAGCAGGTTAATTAATCACAGAGGGTATCCTGAAGGAACCAGAGAGGACAATTCATTAATTTCACTTTTAAAAGTATGCATTCTACATACTGCAAGGATTCGGAAGAACATTTAATGTTCTGCACAACCACATGTCGAAATTATAGCTGTCTGGTGATAAATGGTGGATCCGTCAACCATAGCAACGTGAGAGCTTTCGGCTTATTGGATCGTCAGCAAAACGAGAAGTCCTTTAATAGTCATCGCTCAGCTAAGACACTGTCACTACGGCCATTATCATTGCTCCACCAGAGACTTTTGTTACTGGGAATGAACTATATCATCAAGTCTGCTTTCCAAAGCACATTTTGGCAACAAGTAATTGACCTGTCAGCTCTTGCTGAGAGTCAATCGATTGCGAAGAAGTAACTGCGGTGGATGAGCTTTTACAACAAACAATATCTATGTGGTTGTGTGGGGTGGACTGGATGCTGGTGATATAATAATTACATCCTCAAGGCTATTGGTTTTTGGATGTATTGATTGTTGTGTGAGTTCTACAAGGCATGAACATTGAATGGAATGTGCTAATTGTGCGTAGAATTTTTTGCCAGAAGAACAACATAATTTAATCTGTTCTACTTCTGCAGGGTGTGTATTACATTTACCTGGCACTTACATAGTTAAAATTAAGACAATTAAAGTAAATCGGGCACTAAGAAATAAAAACAAAATATCTCATTCATTTATTGAACAAATAAAAACTTCCTTTTTTTTTGTAAACAATTTACAACATACTCTTGAATATGGTAAGCTAAATATTAAAAATCACGTCTGTCGCAAATTGTGAATATTTTGACCTTGGCAGACGTATAGACGTGGAAAGAACAGACAAACGGACACAAACTGAAATGTGCAAACAACAACAAAATTTAGATTAATTATGAAAAGTCCACAATAAGCATCAGAAATAAAATCATACTCACTGTTTAGGAAATTAGCAATACAATCAAAGGATCCAAAGGATATAGAAGACAGAGGCAAACCATAGAGAAGACTAATTGCTTTACGTATTGCTTAGGACAATTGTTTTAACCTTTAAAATGCCTAAAGGTGAACATATATATAATGCATGAGGCTCAACATCGTCACATTTGCATAATAACCTTTCCTGGGCAGTTTTGAATACAAACAACAGAAAAACAAGAAACCCAAGCAGTTTTCTTTGGGTGACAACTAGAATTGTGTATTTCGGAAGCTGGGGTACAATTACCCTATTTAGAGACAGTCTATGCCTTTAATACAAGCTTCATGCAGTGTAAGCACATGCCACTATAACCAGTAACTTAGCTGTTAAAAGGAACTCCTAATTACGCTTGTTCACGCTTTCACACAGTATTGTCTATTTACTTTCTTTTTTTTTGTTACAGATCCACTTAAACGGAACACTCCAGGCCAATAACAACTTTATCTCATCTCAATCAAGTTATTATTGGACTCGGAGTCGCTGGGCCCATCCTACCTTGCAATTGGAAATTGTTATTAACTGTCTAACAGGTTCTGTCCGTGGGTTCCATCCTTTATGTTGCCTCCCCTGTCTTCTCCTAGATCACTCAGCTAACAGGGAAGCATTCATTCTGGTGGCCAATGATGGGCTGAGAACATCACCTGACACCCTCATCTTTTAACTGTACATCCAAGCCTATTCTTCCAAATTAGCTGAGCAGCCAGAGAGAAGAGTCAACAGGCAATGTAACAGTCATCAGGGGACAGAACCACCATGTTAAACCATTTAAAACCCTTTTAACACTGTAAGGTGAAACCATTTTTCTGGACTCCAGGCTCCATGATAACTTCACGAAGATTAAATTGTTATGATACCAGAGTGGCCCTTTAAGAAAAAATGTGTGTCCTCTTTTTCTGTTTGGCAAAAAGTGCAGAATTCAATAGAAATTGGTACTATTATAAATTAACCTTGTTTCTCCTGCTGGCAAATTCATGGTCCTGGGGCCCCTGTAAAACCTGTGGCCCATGTGGCCATCACCTTATGGGTAATCCTGCTCTGTTCACTCAATGGAACTTAAATGTTGGCCATTAATCAAGTTATAACTGGACGCCAATTAATGTTTAATCTTCTAATACTGCTACATTAATTGGCTTCCAGTTATAACTTGATTAATGGCCAACATATAAGTTCCATTGAGTGAACAGAGCAGGATTACCCATAAGGTGACCATAAATGGCCACACGGGCCAGGGGTTTGACATGGGCCCCAGGACCATGAATTTGTCGGCAGGAGATACAAGGTTAATTTATAATAGTACCAAATTCCCATATTTACAAAGCAATCATTTGAAAACTGGACACATTATAAATAAAATAAAACATACATTTATAATTTCATTAAACAAGTAAAAAAAAATAAAAAAATAGCATTTTCCTAAATTGGTAATCTAAAACAGAAATAATTTTTAAATACAAACTCATGTTATAGAAGGTTATGCAACAGCAGCATTAAAATCACAATTAGTGGGGTATTTGTGAAGAAATAAAAGTGAAACGATCCATGGAAAACCATTTCAATTCTGCAATTAAAGTTTCCATGCTTCAGTTACATATTTATTGCACTTGAGAAGGAAAAGGTTGAACTATGCCTTTACCAAATTCTTTTTTGCAAATTAATTTTTTTTCCGCTCTACTGAAAAGTCCAAGGTGGGATGGTGAGGAACATGAGTTGATAGAATATAATGTGTTTTCTTTATATATATATTTTTTATGGATGGTTGTCTTTTTCAATTTATTAACAAAAGATTATATTTAGCTTTTGCCACTGGGTCTCTATTCACTATCTAAACTTTTTATTATAGACCGCAAAGGCTAATCTGAAAACGAAAATTATTTCAAATAGGACATTTTCTTTCATAAAATAGAATTTTGTTAAATTCTTATAATTAGTCACCGTCAGACCCAACTTTAGAATCATTGCATACTTTGATTGTCCAAATACTATAAAGCACTTTCAAAAGGTCATTTACAAGGATTTAATATATTATGGAAGGCATATTATTCACAATATTTACAAAGATTTCAGGCAGGCAAGACTGGAGACAGTCAAACGTGTAAAGGAGATGGAGACTACAATAAACATACTGTCTCCTGTATCTCTGATTTGATATAATTAGCACAAACTCTCCCTTTTTGTTTAACTTTGGGGGTGAAATCAGATTTAGCCTACTTTTGATAGGGATAACCCCAAGGTTGGTAACTTATTCATTTTACGATGTTGCTGCTTGACGTTCTCATGATGCTTAAACGGGCTTTGGAGCGTGGGCAGGCATTGTACAAAACATCACTGTATTAAAGTATTGTTTAATTGGTTCTAGAAGAGGGTTTAATGAGCCAATAATGAAATATCACCAGCCAGACCACCAACAGCTGTGAACAGTTGAAATCCATCTCTTCCCAACTGACATGGATGAAGACCACGCCAACTGCTGTTGGAATGACAAAAACAAAACACAATAAACATCCATCCGTTTATTTGTTATTTTTTTTCATAATCCTACATTATACTCCAGCACCCAAGTTTCCAAAATGTAGTTTTTCAAATGAACAGCTATATAATTTGTGTACATTCCACTACCAATCTGATATCTTGCAACAGTAGACAATTGCAGAAGGCTAACGATTTACGTGTCTTATTGACGTTTTCCCTTTGATTTCTACGTTGCTTAGATGTTTGTTGGCATCTCACAGTGAAATAAAGGCTTTTTTTCTGGCAGCGTTTTGTGTATCTGCATTCCAGACATTTCAGACATTTCAGACATGGGTGATTCACTGGCACATTTTGATGAATTTTAAAACATCTACTGAGAATGGTGGTTTAAGTGTCAGTCACCCCATTGGAATATCCAACCACTTCACATTTTCATTACAATTTTCTAAACAAACAATATGATTATAAAGTGAGTCTCTATAATTAGCTATTGCAATTTATTTTCCGCAGTTACCCTTTCGTATCAGTTCTATCTACAAACTATAATGTATTAACGCAGAATGCAGTAATTATGGGTCAAAATCCCAAATAGGACCATGCAATTTATAAAATCTAAAGAAGAAAGAAGAAAAATAAAAAAAGTATTGTAATGAGTGTTACTTCTCAAGTGTTGAATACCATAGACATTGCATGAGATAAGGGTTAGGAGACAAGTATGGGGTATCTAATTTGCTGACTAATAAAAGACTAGATGATTGACTAGCTGCAATCATTATGCAATGTTAGGACTAACGTCTGCTGTCACAGCTATGCTGGTGGAGTCTGATATGGGCTGATTGGTAAAGATGGCTACTATCTCTCAACTTCAAGGCAATCAAAGCAAGGTTTTACATTTTTAGGGTGCATGGGATCCATTACCACATACTTTGAGAATGGCACTTGAAATATGAAATTATTGTTTTATTAAGGCTAGGTGTTCCAAAATGGAACCGGATATTTTCTTTAAAGTGTTTATGACGGACTGTTCCAGTCATCTATCTATCTATCTATCTATCTATCTATCTATCTATCTATCTATCTATCTATCTATCTGTCTGTCTGTCTGTCTGTCTGTCTGTCTGTCTATCTATCTGTCTGTCTGTCTGTCTCTCTCTCTCTCTCTATCTATCTATCTATCTATCTATCTGTCTCTGTCTGTCTGTCTATCTATCTGTCTGTCTATCTCTCTCTCTCTCTCTCTCTCTATCTCTATCTATCTATCTATCTATCTGTCAGTCTCTGTCTGTCTGTCTATCTATCTATCTATTTCTCTCTCTCTCTCTCTCTCTCTCTCTCTCTCTCTCTATCTATCTATCTATCTATCTATCTATCTATCTGTCTGTCTGTCTGTCTGTCTATCTATCTGTCTGTCTGTCTGTCTGTCTATCTCTCTATCTATCTCTCTCTCTCTCTCTATCTCTCTATCTATCTATCTATCTATCTATCTATCTGTCTGTCTCTGTCTGTCTGTCTATCTATCTATCTGTCAGTCTATCTCTCTATCTCTCTCTCTCTCTATCTGTCTGTCTCTGTCTGTCTGTCTATCTATCTATCTATTTCTCTCTCTCTCGCTCTCTCTCTCTCGCTCGCTATCTATCTATCTATCTATCCATCCATCCATCCATCAATCCATCCATCCATCCATCCATATGTGTGTGCATATCTCTGATTTAAAAAAAGACTCCTTGTACAGCAAATTTTAACCCTACTAATATTAGTCACAGTATTGTCCTCTTGCCTGTGAGATTCTAAAGTGTAAGTGATAAGCTGTTGTACATGTCAGCGACACACAAACTGTCATCGTCAATACAATCTAACAATCTCGGAAATGTACACTGGTTATATTAGCTGCCATTGAGAACTTGACCTTTTCATACGTACAATCATCATCATT